GCACTGGAGCCGTATTTGTGGCTGTGACAGATTCTGTCAAGATCCAGTGGATATAAAAAGTCTACACAGCCCCATTAAAATCCCAGGTTTCTGTGATGTAAAAAAATATGAGACAAAGCCAAATCGTGTCCAAACCTTTTCCACTTTTAATGTGACCTATAATGTAAACAATTCAATTGAAAAAGGAAATATTTTAGGGGTTAAAATAAAAAAAATGTGCAATGACCTATTTGCATAATCTGCAAAACCTTAAACTAATACTTGAAGCACCTTTTGGTTTAATTACAGGACTCACGTTCTTTTGCCAAAGAACCCCCCACCTTAACTAAGGCCCCCCGGTTCCAGCTGCAGAAAAACATCCCCAAAGCAAGATGCTGCCCCCCGGCCCCCCGCTTCACTGTGGGTATGATGCTGCCAAGGTGGGTTTAAGAGGTGAGTTGGTGTCCGACTCCCCCTGCTGACGGCTTCGTGCAGCGCAGGTCCACTTGCTATGATTCTCGAACGCTTACGTCGTAACATTCATGAAATGTTGTGGACCTACATTTACAGTTTGTCAATCATTTTGAATTCTTGATTGCCGTGTTCAGAGCCTCCTAAACTCAGCGAAAAAAGAAACCCTTTTTCAGGACTGTGTATTTCAACAATAATGTTGTAATAATCCAAATAACTTTACAGATCTTTGTAAAGGGTTTAAACAATGTTTTCCATGCATGTTCAATTAACCATAATCAATCAATTAGCATGCACCCGTGGAATGGTCGTTAAGACCTTAACAGCTTACAGAGAGTAGGCATTTAAGGTCACAGTTCTAAAAACGCAGGACTCTAAAGAGACTTGTCTACCGACAAAACCGGGTGTGAAAAACACCCAAGGAAAGATGCCCAGGGTCCCTGCTCATCTGCGTGAACGTGCATTAGGCATGCTGCAGGGAGGCATGAGGACTGCTGATGTGGCCAGGGCAATAAATTGCCATGTCCGCACTGTGAGACGCCTAAGACAGCGCTACAGGGAGACAGGAAAGACAGCTGATCATCCTCACAGTGGAAGACCACGTGTAACAACACCTGCACAGGATCGGTACATCCGAATATCACACCTGCGTGACAGGTACAGGATGGCCACAACAACTGCCCGAGTCACACCAGGAACACACAATCCCGCCATCAGTGCTCACACTGTCCGCAATAGGCTGAGAGAGGCTGGACTGAGGGCTTGTAGGCCTGTTGTAAGGCAGGTCCTTACCAGACATCACCAGCAACAACGCCGCCTATGGGCACAAACCCACCTTCGCTGGACCAGACAGGAGTGGCAAAAAGTGCTCTTCACTGATGAGTCACGGTTTTGTCTCACCAGGGGTGATGGACGGATTCGTGTTTATCGTCGAAGGAATGAGCGTTACACCGAGGCCTGTCCCCTGGAGCGGGACCGATTTGGAGGTGTGGGGGTCCGTCATGGTCTGGGGCGGTATATCACATCACCTTCAGACTGAGCTTGTTGTCATTGCAGGCAATCTCAATGCTTTGCGGCACAGGGAAGACATCCTCCTCCCTCATGTGGTACCTTTTATGCATGCTCATCCGGACATGATCCTCCAGCAGGACAATGCCACCGGCCATGCTGCTCGTTCTGTGCGCGAGGCCAGCGAAGAGCCCGGATCTCAATCCCATTGAGCACGTCTGGGACCTGTTGGATCGCAGCGTGAGGGCTAGGGCCATTCCCCCCAGAAATGTCCTGGAACTTGCCTGTGCCTTGGTGGAAGAGTGGGGTAACATCTCACTGCAAGAACTGACAAATCTGGTCCAGTCCATGAGGAGGAGATGCACTGCAGTACTTCAAGCAGCTGGTGGCCACACCACATACTGACTGGTACTTTTGATTTTGAGCCCCCCTTCATTCAGGGACACATTATTCGATTTCTGTTAGTCACATGTCACATGTTAGTCACATGCGGGAAAGGTTTGTTGCTTTTGAAGTTGATAGATAAGTGTTTTGATTGAGTTTTTCAGTTGAAAATATGAATATTTGGCGAAGCAACAACTCATCTGTAAACTTAGTGAAATACATGTGAGAAACGTGAAATGACGGAACAGTCTTTGGCAACAGAAGGACCAGATGACGCAGGGAATGTTTACAAGGAGGAAATAGAAGAATTGAGTCGTAAATGCTCTCCTTGTCAAAGCAAAGCCCCGAAGCTTCTCTCTGCTGCTCCCTAGTGGATTTAAACTCCTAAAAATGAAATATTTGGCTACGACAGAAACCTTCGCGTCGCCTCAAATGCGCCGTGGATTTTCCGGGGTTCGTTTATGGTCAATTCGCATGAATGGCCTCCTTAGTGGTCGACGTGGCTTATCACCCTGAAAAACGTTCAACTTTGTTCGCGCCATTTTTTTTCCCTCCACATTAACCATGAAAGACATAACCACGTTGTAGCCGTTGTGGAAGTCCTTCTAACGTCGTAGTGTTACGGTACAAAGTATCATCTGTCAGCTCGGTGAATTTCATTGACTTCTACAGAAACTGCGCCTGGATGACTGTCGCTTGCATGATGCTAACCGTTAGCCCGTTTGATAGCTTGTTGGGGCCTGTCCCGTGGGAAGACACCGTGTGCTCAGAAACATCCTATTAGGAGCAAACTTCCTGCAATATTACTGAATATAGAGTATGTCACAAACAATGCAATTACCCTGCACCATAATGTACTTCATCAAGTGCAGTGATGGAATGTTGTAAAACAGGCAGATACGGTTGTATCGTGCAAAGTCTTTCCTGGACTGGTCGCAAGGTAACGTTTGCATCGTGTTTGGTGTCAATGCAATACTAAAGTGGTTAAAGGAAATTTTACGTTTTACTTGTTTCTGGACCGGCCTTCACATGTTAAATACAACATCACAAGTAGCCACACCAATGGCAACAGCAACTTAGTCCAAATTAGAACACCTTGTTTCCAGCGGGACGCACAGCAGAAAAGGGAACAGGAAATTGACTGACCTTTTCCATATCATCCAAAATAATTCAGCTGTCAGCCAGCAAGGAATGTTCGTGGTTATGGTTCCATCTTCTTTTTCATTGTTTTGTTCATGTTCCTATCTAGCTGACATTTGTCTATTAACAGAGGTGTTTGCAGCCTGGGAGGAAGGTCCTCACAACCAGAGCTTATCCACCCGACAAAGTATTCCTGAGAAAAGACCAGATCCAAATGACAACTACAAGAGAATCTAGTAATCGCCATTGACGTTTCTTTTTTTTTTAGCTTTGCAGGGTGAGGACCTGACGCTGCCCCGTGTTTTAAAAAAATCCATTCACCATATAATAATTGGAAAGAAAAAATTTAAAGTAGTAAATTATAACTGTATATCCACAGATATCTTGAGAGACGGTGCATGCATCTTCTTCTTGCTGGAGAATTCTCAGTCAATTTCTTATGTCACTAAGTCACAGTGATTGGGCACATATACAATTGTCCATATAACTGCACTGTTCCTGGCATTATGGCAGTAGAGTTGGATCTCCCGATGACGACTCTTTAAAAACAAAAGGAAAGAACAAGAACTAGAAAAGACGTAAGTGAAATCAAGCTCCAAGTGCACGTGTACATTTTTCATTCCCAGTGTATTCTCATGTTTCCTTGTACCTTTTAATCAGAGTATGGTCACACTCACTGTATACGGGAGAATCACATTCAGACAGACGTGGACTTGGCCGTACAAAGGCTTTCCCAACAGTATGCATCGTTGTTGGTTGGAACTGGAACCACGTCTTCGACAGTGAACAACGGAAACCAGTTAAAAAAATCTTGCAAACACTATTGAGCGTTGCTGGGTCTGTACTATCCAATGTCAACAGATACTGGAGTTCTGGGAAAGTCCTTGTAGATAGACAAGACGGGTCACTTTTCAAACAAAGAGTCAGGTTACACACACAAAAAAAAGTTATATTTCCTCTGAACTATAGACAAACACTCGTATGTTGTTATGTGAAAAATGACAGCTGACACGGATGATCCGTAAGCCCCTCGACTCGTACTTGGCCTGCCAGCGAAGACCAGTTATATTAGAAACAAGGTCCAGTCCACCGGAACGTCATTTGAATCACACAGATAAACAGTGCTTCGCAGATCAAAAAAAAACAAAAACCGCAACAATCCATGAAGGATCTGACAGACAGTATAAAAAGTGATGATGTCAGCGTGTGTGTGTGTGTGTGTGCGTGTGTGTGCGTATGGGGGGGGTGTACAGTTGTATCTGCGTCCTGTGCGACGTCTCGTTCCCTCAGAGTGAGTCCGCTCCATTAACGGCTTTTGAACGCACTCTTCATTCAAGCGCTGCGCAACTAAACCACAAACCGTTGCCATGGCAACAGATTAACAAAATACTCCCAAATCAGTATGTATATAAAAATGTTAAAAATTGAAATGACAGAATTAACAAATTAGCACGAAGACACGACACCTCTGAAGGCAGGGAAAAAAAAAAAAAAAAAAAAAAAAGGTTACGGGTTAGTAGAATTAAAGAAAGGTCAGAGGTCACCTTGATCATAATCAAACTACGTTCACCCTTAAACTTCAGTCATCAGAGAGAAATGTATACAATTTTTTACAGAAATCAATTAATTGTTCTCAGTCTGGAAATAAAATGCCCCAACTCCCTCAACACAATGTAATATATATATATATCTATATATATATAGATATATATATATTATACACATACATACATACACGTGCACACACACGCGCGCACACACACACAGATAAATACATATATAGCTATTTAACATAATATAATCACTGGGATTTCTTAATAAAAATCATCCCATGGTAAAAAGGTAATTAACCTTTAAACTCTGCTGTGAACTAAGCTGTGAATGGACACAATCTAGAGGTTTGGTTGGGTTTGAAAAAAAAAAACACAGAGGCATTCCTGTTAATATAATAAAACCTAAGTTGTTTCCCCAAGGCATATTTTACATTCATAATACTATGTGAGTGCTGTTTGTGTGTGTGCGTATTTGAAATACCTGCCACAAAAGAAAGAAATTATCCGCACTATAGCAGAACAATGTATATACATGTATGTTTGTGTATGTGGGGCTCCTGTACGCATGACTGAAGCATATTTCCTTAGGAAACAATTGCACCTCATTGGATCAACAAGTTGGCCAATCACCAATGACGGAAGCCAGAGCCCCATCGCAGACCCAGAGTGTGGTTGGTAATGTGGGATTGATTGTGTGTCTCTGAGGGAGTGTGTGCATGTGTGTGTGTGTGTGTGTAGGCGTGCGTTTGAGAACAGCGGAAAGACAGTTCCTTCCACTTGCAGTGTCCTCATGGATGTGGGCTCGGGGATGCGGTTTCCCTGGTGAAGACAGTGAAGTGTCGATAAGCCGAAGAGAGGCGGAGCTTAGACCTCAGCTGCTTTCAAGCCAATTTGATCCTCCTCCTGTCAGTCACTGTTGGGCTTCTTCAGGGAGAAGGCCAAGATACTGAAGTGATGGCTGAGCTGTTGTACCTACGAATGAAAAATACAATTATTTGATATGTTTTCATGACTAGATTCAATAAAAACAACTCTCATAATTTTCAACATTTAATGCCAATCAGGGCAAATTATGTTATGCAGGGCAAGCTAAAAAAGTAAATCCATCTCAGTGTCTCATTATAAGTAGCGAGCAGCGCTATTGTAGCCGCACTATTTTACGTTTATAATCATTATGATTGGTGTAGCTGACGGTCGGCCGGCCGGATGTGGCCTCAGCATATTTGGCCTTAGCTCTGAAATTGGCACACCGATGATAAAAAGTGTAAGAACTCTGCAACTACTTTGCCTATATGGACAATTTTCTTTTTCCTACGGAATAAAGGAGAACCCATGTGAGCATTCTAATCTGTAAAAGTCTGTTTATAAGTTACTGGTGAATAAATAAATCAATATAACAAAGAAATCGTGAATCGCCTGAAATAAAATCACTAACAGTTCTCTAAATCCTATGAATCATGAAGCTACCAGGCTCATCATATGTACATGAAAGCCCAGTATGTGGACAGCACACATGTAAAGTGTCACGTTGATAGTCAGGATTACTACTCTAGAGAAGCAGAGTTCATTTTGGCAGCTATTTTTGATTTAGTCTTTTGACGAAAACGCTTATTAGTTTTAGTCCCATTTAGTCATTTTAATCCTCCTTAGTTTTAGTTGTCGTCGACAAAATCTAATTACACTTTAGTCTAGTTTTAGTCACATTTAATAGCCACATTGTAGCAGTTCTATCAAAAGCCTCCACCTGTCACGTGTGTCCAGTATTAATGCTTTCTTTCCTCACAGGTTTCATAAATTGTGGTTCTATCTGGACCTTGGTACAGCCTCCCAGCTGCTGCCATCACCATTATTATAGTTAGTTTCATTACTATTACTGTCATCATAAACATTACACCAACATTACAGACTTTGCTCCTTTCCTGAAGCCTCTGTGCTTTCCCTCATCACATGATTCTGTGGATGTCGGTGGTTTCATCTGAGGGGAGCACGCTCCCTCCAAGCGGTGCAGAGACGCCCCGTTTATGAGAATGGGACGGGCAATCCGAAAACATGCTGCCGCTTATTACGGCATTTAGGCACAAAGGTTCATTCATTCACAAGCAAAGAGCGGTTTGTGTAACACCCACATTTGTGCTGTTATGAAGTAAAGTCAGCTTAAAATGCTAATGAGTGAGCGACGCTTAAGGCGCATGTTTCTGTCGTGTCGACGCACTCGTTTCAATTCATGGTTCTAAAAGTCTCGCGTGTGTTGCAGAGCGATTCACCTCCAGAACAACAGGTGGAGTAACGTGTTTTGTTGAAGACGACCTAGAGAGTCACGTCTTTGTGTGTGGAAGTCGTTGGTTGGTTAATTTATTTATCATAGACTTTATTGTCCCGTGCATCGCTGCTAATGCTTTTCATCGCAGACACATTTGTCCCGTATTTTCCTCCACAACTTTGTTCCCCTTGACCGGCGTTTGTTGAGATCTCCCTACATGAATCAGAGGCCATCCGCGCGTCCTTGTAGTCCGCCAATGACGGCTTGTGTAAGTGCTCATATTTACGCATTTCTTCCGACAAAAGCTCTTCAATCACATTCATTCTCTCGTAAAAAAAAAATGTTTTAATAATGACGGTATTGTGCTATGAAACCGGAAATGTGAGACTCCGGAAAGGACGCAGTTAGCGGCCCAATCGCAGCCTTGCGGGCTGCGAGAGGCTTGCGTAGCCTTTGACGCACGCAACTACGCAAGGAGGTGTGAGAAGACACGCAAGGGACGCATTAGGGGCTCTTGCGTCTCTCTGAAAACGCAGAAGCATAAACTAGGCTTTAGTCAACCAGCTGCCATCTGCAGCCTCGTATTCAGAGGAGTGATGTTAGTTTGGACTGCGTGCGTTTGCTCTTACCACTGAAACGCCGTAGTGGATGTGTGCTAGTATGACCACCGTTGTCCACAGATGAAGCAGTGCGACCTCGTCGGCGACCACCCCGGTCACCGCCAACACCACCACCGGCGCCATGGGCAGCAGCAGCCAGCTCACCGCCTGGCAACGCGTGTTACTCATCTGACACACAATCAGTTTACACTGCAAGAGAAATACGCCCACGCATGAACGAAGACACGTAGGCATCGCGTGAGGAGTTAAACGCGCAAAAACAAGAGTAGCGGCGCGTGCGGGAAAATGCGAACACACCCACCGTAACGTTAGCGAAGGCTGTCCCCACCATGAGGTAGAAGACCCTGGGCTGCAGCTCGAGTATGTCGGATGGAGAGAAGACCACCCAGACGGTAGACAGGAGGAAGAGGAGGACGGGCGACAGGAAGGGCAGGAAGGCTTCGTACAAGCTGCTGTGCTTCAGAGTGTTTGCGCGGTAACCTCTGCAAGACGACAGATGACCAAGAGCTCAGATCGCCGTCAACTCGTAGTTCTTTCATTTAATTAAACAGTTAAAGGTAACTGGACTTACTTCAGGACATTGTAGAGGCTCATGGGTACGGTGACCGTAAAGGAGCAGGCTGCCAATCAAATTGTATGGATTATTGTCAAGCTTTGGTGCTACATTAGTATTTTGCATATTAAAATATCCCTGAAATGTGTCTGCCAATCAAACCAAATGGAAAGCATCCCACAGCTACATTAAACAGTGCTTTTAATTCCTGAATGAATGGACTTGACCGCTCATAGCTCACCGATGATCATAAAGGTGAAGAGGTCTCTGTACAGGAAGCTCCACAGGATTGGCTGGTACCAGGTTTCCACGCCGACCACAGCAGTGACCATGTAAACGAGCGAGATCGTCTGGAGGGGAGATGACACGGCAGACATTAACGCACTGGAGGGCTCGTAGGGCCTGAAGTGCACCGGTGGTTGTGCGTCCTCACCACTTGGCTGATGTCGTACCCCCACGGCAGAAACAGGATGCCGGTGTTGTATTTCTCCCAGTGCGACAGAATAAATGAGAACAGCACCACCCACAGGATGTAGTACAGGGTGGCCACGGCCACGCCACTGTCCCCGCGCCCGAATATGGAGTAAACCGTCGCCACAAAGAAGATGCAGGCCCAACTGTCCAGGCCGTGGTCAAACAGCTCCCCTAGTGGCGTGGAGGAGTTGGTGCGACGCGCCTGTTTACCGTCAACGCCGTCTACATGTAACAAAGGAATGAAAACAGGGATCATTAGTAAAGTACAAAGCGTTTTTTGGACTTCACTCATTTTATCCACACATTGAAATGATCAGCAGACAAAACTGATGCCATATTGATAGTGGTTTTATTTTAAGAATACAGAATGTATGCCAGGGAGAAGAATGTGACCCATGTCCTCACTAAAGTCAGAGCAGAACAACACACATGTTGAGGACTCACCGAGTGTGTAGGCCAAAAAGTTGAAGATCCCTGCAGCAACCCAGACCAAACTAGGCACGTGTTTATGTCCTGCAGCTGAGATCAGAAGACTTTAAATATACAGTTCAAGACACACATGCACAGGTACATAGGTATCCAAGGAAAATGCATGTTCCCTTTTCTCATTTAACTCCTCAGGGTTGGTTGAAACTTAAATGGAAGAAGGAGCGTCCCTGACTAAGAATTAAAATTGTGTTGAATGATATTGTTCCGGTCTTGCCTGTAGTTGGATGAATATCAAATTGCGTCCTTAATCTTCCCCTATTTAAGCATTAGATATCTATAGTGTCAGATAATAATAATAATAATAATAATAATAATAATAATAATAATAAAGTCTGTGAGTGTGTGCAGCTCAGAGACAGACACGTGGCTTCTCGTCCTTCTTGCTTTGCGTGGTTGTGAATGAAACTTTGAGTCCAAATTATAATTTGTAGTAGTTTCTATGGGCCTCCCCTGCTGATTTGAAAGAATCATTCATAAAATCTGAATATATTTAGCGCTCTACAATGTTATGAGAGTTCCATGTATGGAGTTATTTAATTTTTAAATGGAAGAGTAGCCATGTTCCTTTGTATCCGCACCAACTAGCAGTTGAATCAGACGATGTAGATCAAATCTACTCTTTGTGGTCACACCTAAATTAAAAGGAGAAACACAGACTACTTCGTACAAAGAGAATCTCTGAGGGGCGTATTTGTTGGTGAATGGCCGACATGTGTGCATGACTTGGACTGATTCCTGAGCGCAGACATTCTTGAGAGGATATTTCTGACTTGAAGTCAGTGAGAGTCATGTCAGCGCAAAAATATGCAGCAGGATAAAGCAAAGTATGTTTAGAGTTGTGTGTGAGTTGATGTTCTAGAGATCTAGTTTTACATTTTAGTAGTAGCTCTTGTGTGTTTAATAGGTTAGTGATTACTCCGAGCACCTACACACACATACACACAGTATATATACACACTAGAACACTTCATCACGGGCAGGACCAAAATACAAAGGGAAAAGATATCACTTGAGGACCTACCAGAGGCAGTGAAGTCAAAGTCGTAGAAGGCCAACATAAGGAAATTCAACACAAGGAACATAAACCCTGTGAACGTAATGAGGTTTGGAGCCAACCATGTCGGGAGAAACTGTTGAAGAAAAGATAACAGTTGATTAGAAAGTCAGTTAGCTCATAAATCTAATCTCTTCTAATTGACACAATTCTAATAATATTAACCACCTTCCGCCCTAAACTGATTTACCCTCAAAGTTTAAAACCTGATATACGAGATAGTCACCTCATTTCATTATTAGGCCTAAAGTTAGGGCTGGCTCAGGTCGAGAGTCGGGGCTAACTCAGGTCGAGAGTCGGGGCTAACTCAGGTCGAGAGTCGGGGCTAACTCAGGTCGAGAGTCGGGGCTGGCTCAGGTCGAGAGTCGGGGCTGGCTCAGGTCGAGAGTCGGGGCTAACTCAGGTCGAGAGTCGGGGCTAACTCAGGTCGAGAGTCGGCGCTACCTCAGGTCGAGAGTCGGGGCTGGCTCAGGGTCGAGAGTCGGGGCTGGCTCAGGTTGAGAGTCGGGGCTAACTCAGGTTGAGAGTCGGGGCTAACTCAGGTTGAGAGTCGGGGCTACCTCAGGTCGAGAGTCGGGGCTAACTCAGGTCGAGAGTCGGGGCTAACTCAGGTCGAGAGTCGGGGCTAACTCAGGTCGAGAGTCGGGGCTAACTCAGGTCGAGAGTCGGGGCTAACTCAGGTCGAGAGTCGGGGCTAACTCAGGTCGAGAGTCGGGGCTAACTCAGGTCGAGAGTCGGGGCTGGCTCAGGTCAGCCTGGACCAGCCCTTAGATAAGCTGCTGTAAGTGTTGCCTGCCGTAGGATTTCCCTTCTCTTCTTTATCAAGCATATATTAAATGTAGGTAGCAAACTTTGTTTCTTCCTTTGAGTTTGTAGGTTCCCTCACAGGTCTCCGTGGGTTATGGGAACATCTGGACTGTTTCTCTCTTGCTGACACACACTGCTACTTTTTTTTCCTCATACGTATAATTTGTTTTGAATAGATAGTAATGATGTTGTAGTTATAATATGCTGCTCATTCTGTACACATGACATACATAGTACTTGTAGGACAACCGTGTGTGAGTGGAGAGCACGGTTGTTGTCCTCCAGTCAGAGAACTGGCAGAATTGGCCCTGCTAGCTGTCCACTGTCCAGACGTCCTTTTAAAAGACACCTAACCACAACATTGCTCCTGCAGCTGTGACTACAGTGTGTGTGTGTATGATTTGAATGTTAGTTGTTGATGGACAGGTGTCACTATGTATGGTCCATCCTGATAGATGGAACCCTCATCTATCAGTCTCTAGAAGTTTTCCCCTTTATTTCTTGTAGTTATTTTGGGAGAGCTCTTGCTCTAAGAGGTCATATGTTGTCCAAATTATAAAGCTTTGTTAATTTGTTTAATTGGGCTATACAAATACAACTGAATTGAACTATGGGGGTCACAGTGGCTTCATCACCCACTCAAAAAAAGGAAAATACAACAACAACAACAGCAAAAACATGATGAGGTCTTTACATACGTTGTGCCCAAACTCACTAACACGCGTTTTATCAGATGTAGAACTGTGCTGCAAAGAACTGTGTCCAAAGAACACAAAAATCAATTACAATCCAAGACCGGAATGTGTTTTCACAGAAAAATAAGAAAATGAATGAGGCTCGTGTTGGTAAGCTATATTTATACTTGCGTAGCAAAACTTGTGGTCCGGCAATGAGCACACAAAGACGTTTGTGCTCAGAATACTCTTTGTTTTTCCCAAACGCCAGAGCGCATTTGATAACGGATTGTGAAGGACGATTGTGTTGAACCATTAACTCAAATATCCTATCCATAAACTTTACTATCTGTAAAGACACACATCATGTAGTAGATGCAATATAATGAAAAAAAGGTTGATTATCCTTTTTGTTTTTGGCAAAAGAAGATTTCATTAATGATCCACATAAATTTAGACCTTTAAGATTTTGTGTAAAGCCTCTAAAAGGAACTTCCCGTAGGTATAAACTCTTCCAACATGTAAATTGTGCTATTATCAGTCAACTATTTGTGAGCGATTACGTAATTATTGTTCTGTGATGCGTCACTACAGAGACTATAAAAGCTTGCTCTACGGAATCACGGCAGAAGGTACGAAAACCTCATTGATGATGTAATTCCCACACAAACGCACACATCCACAGCTAAAACGGGTCTTTCTCACCTTCACCACAAAGTTCCAGAAAGGGTGCATGACGTAGACTGAAAGGGGATTGGAGTCCACTGCGCTGTACTGCAGAGAGACAAAAGAAGAAAATAAACTCATACTGTAACCATGTAAAAGCAGGTCGATGCATTGCACAGTTGCACACACACACAGACATACAAGTTCCTTCCCCTTCAGGCAGCGGTCTCTTGTTAAGTGTGAATAAAGAGGATGATGGATGACAGCATGAGTGAAACTGTGGTTTGTTTTGTGCACCTCCAGGATTCCAAACACTGTACACAGTCCTTTCATGCTCTGACATTGGTTGTATCCAACACTCCCCCAGCCATGTAGCCAACGCATAGAGTATGAACCGCTGGCAAGTGGTATCGGAAAACGCTATCTCCTGGTACTTGATGTTTTGCAGAAGTGATAAAAGGAGGCAGATAGTTGTGTTGTTGAAGGACAAAGACGATGACCAGGAGAATACAAGAATAAAGAAACGTCGGTGTCAAAATACTACGAGGAATCTGCACGCAGAAAATGCTTCTCATTATGTACAACTAACACTTCAGTCTCGACACATGACAGAAATACGTCTGTGTCACACAAGTAAACACTGAATCGGCTTCTGTTGTCAGATCGCGTAATCGCTTCCGTCCCGGCTGTCTGCTGTCACAGGACACGAAAGGCTCCCTGTCACTGCTGCAACATTGATGCTCTTCTTTTTGGGAAATAACTCAACAACACAGTTTCTATGTTCTCTGGAATTGCATTGACTCGTCAGACAGTCCCACGTTAGTATTTTCTCAGTGTAGTACACTGGTTCAGGTCGAGTGGTTCCCCCTTAATTGAGTCACCACTACAACAGCTACTAGTACTACTAGTCCTACTACGTGGGTTACTGTGGCTGCACTCAGAGCTCCCGTCAACGTGCTGGCCTTCACCACCGCGAGGACACCTCTGAAATGTGACAGGAAACGAATTAAAGACGTTTAAGCACAGCCGAAGAGAAAGAGTCGCTAATCAGCTAAGACCCGGCACAGGCCGACACTTCCGGCAGTCACCTTTCAAAATAAATTGTTACGTGACTATTTCGTCAACAATACGGGAGCCCCTTATTTGTTATGTTTTACTTGACAATCTTATAACAGCACGCAGGACCATAAGTATGGTTATAAGTATAAAACGGGTTAAAGTCCACCCCGTAGTAACAAATGAGTGTGCAAGCACCACGTAAAACATGGAGGACACAACGTTGCTTCCCATCTCCGAGCGTGTCGTCTACTTTCCGGCTGCAAGCTTGACGTCTAATCGATGGGTGGCGAGGACCACGCCATGTATTATTCGCAAATCAGCATACGAGCTGCAATTAAAAAAAATGCAACAAAATCACGTCATATTGCGTTTATTTTCACCGGGGTGATTTGATCAGCATCTGGATTGGTTACAGCTATTTTTATTCATTTAGCCAGAGGATGCAGATCGTGAGAGCTGTCTGTTTGACACACCCGCCTCCACCCACCTCTCACTCTCTCACACACACACGCGCGCACACACACGCACGCACACAATGGCGCGTCGCTAGCATGCTATTACGACGTATGAATCATACCTTGTATTTGTCGAAGCCCGCGAGCTGGTCCTGGGTGACATATTCGTAGAGAGCCATGGCGGTACAGGCTGGCTCCAAAGGGACATAAATGAGCGTCTGTTCCTTTGGAAAAGCTAATCCCGACGTTAGCTTCCGAGTCCAAGCACCATGTAGTCAGATCGGCCGCTATCGTTCACGCCGGGCGAGCTGATGTCGAAACATTTGAGCCACTCCTGCGGAGCGCAAACATGTAGCTAGCTTAGCTGCCCGGAGCTCACTGCCGCCCCCTCTGGGCCGGATGTCCGCCGCCAACACGAAATGGAAATAAACCCGATGAAATATTTTCTCATTATTCAAAATGACACGGTATAATCGTTCGTGGTGTCACTTGGGGAAGTGAACAGGGACAACGGTTGTTGATGTGACTAAAGTACTTTTCTTTGCGTTAATTGGTCGGCGCGGTGTTGCGGTGGTCTGACAAGTGACGTGGCTTTGCGCTGCTGCCGGAAGACAGGGACACGTTTGCTCCTTTCCTGCTGACCAGTTGGGGTATTCTTTGGATCTAGAATAGAAATCCCAACCTAACTTATAAAGTAAGTAATGACAATACTTGAGTTGTATTCGAATTAGTTTTCACTTTATAAATCCCTCGATTCTTCATATATAGCGTTTGCTTTTTTGGTTGACGTTAGGTCAGTGCTCGTTGAAATTTACCTACCTAGCTAACGCTGGCTAACGCTAGCTAATGCTAGCTAGGTAGATAGCGAGCAACATCCAAATGGACCACGATCTGGCAGATTTATTCACAACCACGATGGTATCCCGGGTTGTTAAAATAAATCCTGTACAATATATTCATGTGCAGGATACAGCGCCTAGAATTGCTAAGCGTTGTCTCTGCACGAGAGGTAAAAGCGTATCGTGTTAGCTAACGTTAGCATCTAACGTTAGAGTTACCACGATTCGGTATTAAAATATACACGATTATGCCACCGGAATGGGATGCTTTACCTAAACTGTACACTTAAAACTATCTAGAGGCATATTTAGCCTTTTTCAATAATCAAGACAAACAAAACGTCACATCCTTACTGTTATTGTGAATATCAAATAATGATGTGTATACCTTGATTCAACCAATGAGTTAATTGTACAATCCATTGTGAGATACATAAAGGTGCCTTTAACTTGCGAAGTATATATATATATATATATATATATATATATACGTCTAAAGTGAGCTTGTCCTGCTCTGCAGAATGGTGACGGACGTGCAGCTGGCCATCTTTGCCAACATGCTTGGCGTGTCGTTGTTCCTGCTGGTCGTGTTGTATCACTATGTTGCTGTGAACAACCCCAAGAAGCAGGAGTAGAGGCCCCGGCGTGACCGACAGGTGAGTGCAGGTCAAACATCTCTGTGGGTCACGCTGTCAATGTGCGAAGTCATCAAGACGATGCTGCTACGCTGTGATTTGTTCACTCACGCCCTTTATTTGAAAGTGATGTGTAGACCGAGTGAATTCTGCAGTGTTTAGTTGGTACGACGCGGCGGATGGAAGGTCAGAGTGGTGCCTTGCGTGTTTCCATGTCTTGGTCAAATTTGTGTGCACAAATCTGATGCACTGAATGTAGATGTAGTTGTCTTTCCAAGTCCGTACGTGGATGACTAGATGCACTTTGATTAAAGAGGATCGGTAAATATGCGGAGGAAGCCTAAATGCTGTCTGAGGACCCGTTGTCTTATTTGATGCTTAAAGCACATTAAGCAAAAAGAGAACTATTCTTTTGTGAACACCTGTGAAGCTACCGAAACTCTTCTTCTCCCCACAGGTGAGATGAGACTCAATGCCACCTCCAAGGAGACAACATTCCCCACTTCCAAGCCCAAGACATGAATTTCTTTCTACGGTCGCAGTCGTGTTTTTTCTAATTAAAGATGTGTGAATTCGATTTGCATTAATGTTGCATTCATTCCTTTTAGTCATGCATTCACACTGAGGGGACGGTCGCTCCGTTTAATTCCCAGCTCCACCAGTGTCCATGTGTCCTTAGGCAAGATACTTAAGTTCCAATTGCTCCCGCTGTTATTAGCCCCGAGTGGTCCGATGGAAGGGGTGTCGCTGGGTATGGTAGCTCCTGTTATCAATGTATTAATAGGTGAGTGATGACAAGTAGTGACAAAGAGCTTAGGAGGAGGAGTAGAAAAGAGATATAAAAGTACATTCTAGGAATACACACATTTGTAAAAAACAAAAACAAATGGGAAAGGTTTAAGTGCCTGTGTTTATACTGCAAAGTTTAATTAAAGATTCAACAAAGTATCTTATTAGTCACAGTGAGTGGTAATCAGTTGGATGTGAATACATAAATACAACTGTAACCATTTACCTTACACAAACTATTGATATGGTAGTGGATAGATTTATCAATATATATATATCTGTATATCCAATCCGTTTTATTTATAAAGCACAGTTTAAATGAACACAAAGGTTCCCAATGTGCTGTACAATAAAATAAACATAATAAATAAATAGACTGTCCTCCCCAGATAAAATATCTGCACATAAAATCAACAACCTACGTAGTGTTGAAAGCCAAAGAAAAGAGGTGCGTTTTAAAATGAGACCGTGCTCCTCACTGTCTAATGTGCAGCGGCGGTTCGTTCCATAGTTCTGGAGCTGCGACAGAAAACGCTCGGTCGCCTCTGAGCTTCAGCCTCGTTTCTGGAAACCTCAGAGATGGGCTGCGTGTGTAGGGGAATATATCTGTATACACGGTGTCGCTAAAAAGTATTTATGGTGCCTGGTTTCAATTTACAAACATACAAGTAAATGAAATCCTTTTAAAAACTGCATTTTTTTTAGTTAAACATTTCATCTAATATAATGAGTTGGATGTATATATTGCATATACACTCACCAGCCACTATATTGGGTACACCTTGCTAGTGTATTATATGTTTGTTATACACACCTAATATATGGTCCTAAAAAGAGAAAATATCAACTGTGACAGCAAGTATATACACCTATTATGTAGTGTGTACAAAAATATGACCCCGCCCGTTGGACCGTATCATGTTGTATTATTTTAAACCCACTTCTGGAAATGTAAATTGTCAAGATCCATTTAAAAGTCTTATATTTCCATTGCTGGAGGAAGAGACACAGTGGAGATGAATGACGTATTTGCAGTGTCAGGAACTGGTTGTTCTAATTGGAACAATACAAAACATTGTGAACAGGGGTGTGTATTTGGGACACAGAGCCCAGGACCGTAATCTGCTAAACCCAAAGTTCAACTTTATTGTTTCCACTCAAATAGAAACTGAATGAACCAGGACTCGTACTGTGGCCGCGTGCAGGAGAAGCCTCCCAAGGCTTCATGGGATTTGGTGTCCACTCGCTACGGCTTCTTTCACAGACATTCCAACTAGAGGCTGACCAGCTGGATAAGAAACCGCTCTTCTTCTGTAGCAATACTTGGATTACTTGCTACTACATTACTACACGGCTGGTTGGTTCTTTTTCGGTCACCCAACTGTTGTTCCGGTATTTTCAGAACACCGTTCAAGCCCACGCAGAATGCATCGTCACACAGCTGATCTTAATTCAAAAGGACATCCGTAAATTCTTATTTTTTCATATTCGCACTGCTGTTTTACAGTTTCACATTTCAGTCTCTTCATGGGAGCAAATTGCCTTAAATCCGTAAATGTAAAACAAGGTATGGAGAATGAAACACTGCCAACCCCTGAATAATGACATTGTTCATGACATTGACCGACTATGTTGCAACAGCATGTGTGCAACAACCATACATGCTGTTGACATCCCGAGGAAATACTTTTAAACATTACGTACCGAGACGCCCGAGTGATGTCGCTTTCTGTATCCTAGTTTCAATGGAACTGGTCACATTATTGTAATTTAGGCTCCCAACCAGCACGCGGCTGGTTCCTCTTCTGTGTAGCTGCTAGGCTTCTCCGCACAAGCTCACAGTCTCAGGTAGGAGCATTGCTGGAGTTCCCTCAAGCTTCAAAGACAACAAGGTGTACACATTGCTGTTCATTCATGTTCAGCATCCGTCTGCGAATTAGCGCTACTTGACAAGCGATGTGTGTTTGTTGTCACCTGTTGCACTGCTCCCTCCTCTTCGTGGGCCCTTTCTGTAATAGCGTCTCCTCCGTGGTGGAGACTCCTTCCTGGGCCTTCCTTCATCAGTGCTTCAGAAGGCAGCGGCTTGGCCCCCTCCTCCCCTGATACACGCGCGGTGTTAACCGGTGACACGGGCGGTGCACATACTGGGAAGAGGAATTGCAAAAGCAGTGTCATGCAGCACCTAAAACTTAATCAATATCTTCTGTGATGATCGGACGATTGCGTGGGAATATACAGCAGCGCCTATCAGAACAAAACTGAGTGGTAAACGCATGGAAACGGGGAGCAGAAGTTCAAAATGCCGTCAAATGGCCGTTCTGAAGAGGAGTGTATCTGGTCGCTGCTGTTTTCTCTCAGCTGCAACCTTCAAGCGGGACCTTCATGCTAATGTCTGCATCCTTCAAAGCTCCCGAAGTCAATGGTTACATGCCGATAGTTAACGTGTGTAATGTTTACCGTGTTCGCCATCGGGGCCTAACACGCCACCGTGCTTACCCCTCAACACAAAGTACAGCGGTGGCTGATGGGAATCAGGAAACAAAGTGTAGTAAAAAATAATGTTATGCCATCAACAGCTTATGTGCATTGGGGCACCGACACGGTAACCATATGTATAACTGACTGAGTTGGACTGGTGGGATCATTAGACACGGAACTGTGTGTGTGTACACATGCCTGACAGGTGTCGATGGAGGCCCGGTCTGAGCAGCTTCCACAGCCTCATGGTGGCTGAATCCTCCTTTTCTCCAGGTGAAAGTGGGTCAATGCAGGTCGGGGGGTTTTTACTGCCATGTGCAGGATGGGCGGCTTCGGTGGAAGCCGCCCTCCGAACGGGGATGCGGCTCACGTGAGGTTGCAGCTCATACCTGGACGGCCATCAAAAAGGTGAACATGGTTCAACGCTCGTTTATTACCTTATTTTGAATCATTATTCCCTTTATCGGCATGTACTGTTTCTCAGATGGATCTTTTCCCACTAACAACCCAACGTTTGACCTCTTGGCTCTAAATATGTTCCGTGTGAGATACAAGATTGGACTCACTTGCTCATTTTGATGGAGGACAGGATATGTTCCGGCCCCCAGTGGTTAGCAGTCTGTGACAGATGGAGACATCACAGCGAGACCCAATGAACCAAATCAATGTTGCTTGAAGGGTGCGTTGTAGTAAAACACGCCGGTACTACATGCGATGTGAAGAATACGCAGTGCGAGTGAGCATCAAAAGGTCAGCTGACCTCTGTGCGGGCTTCTGCTTGGTGACGAGCGACCGTACGGGTCCGGCAGCCGCCGCCGCCTTCACGCCGCCCGGGAAAAGGCATCCCGGACCGGCCCGCTGAACTGGGGTTTCCGGCCTGAAAATCTGGACAGCTGAGGCCTGTTAAGCAGACAGCAGGACATGAACACAAGAAAAGCAGAGAGAGCAGCAGAGGAGAAACAGCGTTGGATTCTTAAACCCCGAAAAATGTTGCCTGTGTTTTGACTTGACACTCTGGTTCAATCTAACAGGAGAGCGACGTCGACTTCCGAGCCGTTCCGACCGACGAGCCAACAAACATCACACACACAGATAGACGTTGCTTCACAAAGGGATGTCTTTAATTCCAATGGTGGCAACACAGAGACGGTGAAAGACAGCAGCACATTTAAGAAGGTGGCGTTCCATTGCACGGAGCAGCGCTCAACTACCAACCCTAGTCTGGTGTAGGCGGCGAGCGCCACGTTGAAGGAAACGGCGCCGTTGTCGCAGGGAGCACGAAGCACAAAGACCGGGGGGAGAATGGGACAATTAGTGGGCTTAAAGCTAAAGCACATTTTGTCATTCTTCACGAGGAGACATATGAACTGAAACAACTATGTAACAGGACATTAATGTTCACAGCAAGAAAGCAGAATGAGAAATCCGTGTTCTCTACAGAGAACGTTGCGTCGTCTTCTTCGTCACAGAACACATTGTGTCCCCGGAGCACAAAACTCTCTCAGCGACATCGTCGTTATCTAGTACATTAAGAGAACCACTGGCAGCACTCTTGGATCCATCCATTGCTTCTTCTGTCGATATTGGGCGACTAAAGGTCCACACAGTCTACAATTGACCTAAGCTGCATGTCTTTTGAGTGACATCTAGGATCAAACACACGGGCCTTTTGATGATAAGGCCAGGGCCCCCCCCCCAAGCCCCCCCCCGTTGCCTTTCATGAAAAGGTCCCACGCAGCCCACCATCTGCTTAAAAGCTTTGTGTTGGTACGGAACGGTAAAAAAAAAATATAGACCCGTCCTCCTAGTGTTGGTTTAGGCGTGCGTACTAATAAAGCCACTTATAGTGGGCTGTGAGGGGGGAGATTCTTCACATGGGTGGTGAAGAAGACGAGCTGCGGGTTTGGAAGGAATGAGCAAAGCCTCCACAACGCGCTGCTCAGTATGCGTCAGCGGATGAAGGCCCACCGTGGCTACGGCGCGGGAACAGGACGACGCAGCTGCTGGGAGTCAAGGCCAGATGTTCCAGAAGGTCACCTCTCCTGGTCTCGCTAGACACGCTAAATACTCCAAACACAGGGCCTCAGCAAGTACTCCGAGTGCAGCCCACTAACCCCAGACAAACACTCAAATCGATCCACTCAGAACTCATTGGCTGACTTACATACTAAAAGTAAACCGCACTCCCAATCAATTCAATTCACTCTGCAGAACGCTGCTTCCCACAAGATGATTTAACGCCGTGATCCGCTTGCACCTCGTTTCACATCAAAACATTACAGAGCAAAATGCATAAACAATGAAAAAAGAAACAGAAGAAGAAGGTTCTTAAAATATCGTACAGACAAAAGTCACATTCTCTTCAGTCGAATTCTGAAAATCATATTTCTCAAAAATAAAATCAGACTCAATAAATAATTGGAATACACAAGTGCAAAATGGCAAAATTAAATCTGTATAATTGGTACTGTAGCTGATCGTGAACAGCTCCCATCGAAAACAGAACAAAAGAATCATTCTTCATAGATGATCTGTTAGTAGAATATTTCCAATATTCACGTAGACTGCAAATATCTTCTGCAACAATCACAATTACGTTGCCAAGCAACTCAATGTCTTTGCTAAACACATTAAACAGTGTGCAGGTCACCATGTGACAGAAGCAACACAGCGACACACACAATACAATACAATGTCATTACGCAGGGACTCGCAGGACAAAAACAATATTCCAGGGAACATTTAGAAGTGCTAGCACCAAGCGCCGGTGAAATCCCCAACACACACACACACACACACACACACACACTAGATCAAATAGTGATTTGCACGTGTTGTGGCTCTCTGATAGAACTAAAAACACACCACCTACATTCACCCCGTCCAGCCACACACACCCACGGCGAGCTCTCATAGGTCCGGTTGGATTGCGTGCTGGGGGGCCCCGGCTGGAGCGGCGGTGCTTGGCGTTAGGCCCTGAAGGAGCAGGGGGCTCAGTTTGGAGACCAGCCCGGGACGGGGCACAGCCTGCAGGGAGGGGAGCAGGGCGGAGAGGCTCGGGGACCGGACGGAGTACAGACCTGTCACGGTGACGGAGGCCGGGAGGGGACGGGGGTCCGCTGCGCACACGGAGGACGAGGAGGAGGAGGAGGAGGAGGAAGGGGGAGAGAGCGGGGGGAGGGAGGGCGCGTGGCTGTTGCTGGGAGAACGCGGGACGGAGCGGAGGTGGGGTGGGCGTCTCCTCTCCTGGGGCTTAGGGTCTACAGAGAGGAAGACACACACACATGCGCCCGCTCAGAGACATGCGGGGGACGGGGGGAGGACACGTCCACACGTATCCGAAGGCCGCGACGCGAGAGACAGACGCCCATTGTTGTGACAATCACATCCCCCAAAAGGGACGGGGCTCATGTGGGAGACAGCTGCAGCGTGGGACGTCATGCTGGGTCATACTGACATTCCAGAACACAGTAATGCATTAGTCCACATGTTCAAATCTCAGACCAATTGGACGTCCCCCAAGGCATTAAAGCTGTAGCTAACCGTCCCGTTCCAAAGTGTGCATGAGCCAAAGTGACGCCCTAATCTTCCACTGGTGCCTTTCCGGCAGAATATGGGACATCCTGATCGAGAGAGACTGTGGGTAGATCCATGGAGAGGGGAGGATAGGACATGCCAGCCGGTAACACAAGAGGTTGACGGAGGGGGTGGGGGGGGCGGGGGAGGGTTTAGACAAAACAACACCACCTCATTTCACCAACGATGGACTTACCCCTGACCGGCCCGAGCGTCTTGTTCCCTCCCCGTCCGCCGGCGTGCGTGCCATTGTGCTGTGTGTGCGTCCGGGGTGGGGCGCAGCCGAAGGTGAAGCTCGGGGAGGTGTGCATCTTGGGGGAGGGCGTCTGGCCGCTGCCGCTGTGGCTGTTGCAGCGAACGCTGCGGCTGAGCGTGTTCTCCGACGCCGAGGCGGACAAGCAGCTGGAGGAAAGAGGGCGCAGACAGAAACGCATGAGCTCAACGTCGCCGCGGCAACTACAGCGGCTCGCCTCTGGCGTTCCGACGCGTGCAGACTGACTGGTTGAAGGTCTTTGGCGGGGACGCCTTGCTGCCGTTGTGGTGTGTCCTCGGCGGAGGATGAGCGTGGGCGTGCGTCGCGTTCAGGCCTTTGGTGTTGCGGACGTGCTTGAGGATCCAAGCGCGAAGGTTCATGAGGCAGCTGTGCTCGGACAGCACCAGCCGGGGCCAGGGGTTACACTCGGCCATGTCCAGGGCGGAGATGGCCACGGCGCGGCCCACCTGGTGCACAACATCCGTTAGTCTGTCAGCAACGTCCCAGTTCAACCTTCTTACATCTCCGTCTATTGAAAACACAACTTTGCACTTTGTGTTGTATCTCTTGAGGTCAAGTTGGTAGGTAACTTTTGCAGTTATCAAAATAAAAAAAATCATCAACGTGCAACAACCGTGGAAATATGAGCTGATGACCGATGAGTAGCCTCGGATTCCTGGGATGTGCGTGCTAAACACTGTGAATTGATCGTCTACTACGATGAAAAAATGTCTACTGTTTGAAGTCAGCCATTAAAATCATAGAAACGCCCAATAATATGAAAATAACTGGACATTAGTGCATTTAACTAAGGACTCTTATGACGTTATCACTCACATGTTTCTATTTCTTTTAGGTTGATATAAGATTGGTGAATGTTAAATAGGAGAAGACCTGCATATGTCTCTTTTTTTTTTATAGTCTTTCCAGTCAAAGTACTTCAACGCTTTATGCCATTATTCACACACTTCAGATGGCGGAGCCACCATCCGCCATCTGAAGGCTTCACTTTTTAGACCTGCAGGTGGCAGCCTTGCCCAACGGTACCATGTGACCAAACTTCTAGGTTTGGCTCTACGGCTTCAAAGCCCAGCACTCTCCCCGAGGGCCTCCTCTGAGCCCCGTGTCAATATTATTTGCATTTTGTCAAAACGATACTGGGTGCGAAGTTTAATTGTGAACATAGACTGAAAAACCCACCTACCTGCTCAAATATCTCCGGAGTGTATTTCGGAGGAAAGGATGGGGGCGGAGGTGGGGTTGCTCGTCCGTTGTCGTGGCAAGCCGGTGGGATGGTGTTCATGGTTTTTCCTGTGTTGTAGTTGCACTCTAAAGTGTAGCTAAGGGGGAAATGTACATTTACAACTTGCAAACCGAGTTGAGAACGCATGAGCTGACATAAGGCGATGAGTGAGAGCGCTTTTTGTTCGAACGAATGCTCTGCGCACCCATCGGTCTGACCTGTGAAGCAGCCCCAGGGCCTTGTGAACGGCCACCCGCCCGCTGCCTTCCTTGGACTGCCCATCCCTCTTGTCTCGCGCATACATGTTTTTCTCGGAGAAGTTGCAGCCCAGAAAGTCAAAGTGGGCCGAGTTCACAGCGATCAGCCTGGGATACAGCATGTTCTCTACCTGCACAGAGGAGAAGCGGATCAGATGACAATGTTATCAACACAAATCGAAACAACTGAAATGAAAGAAACTAATATGAGACTCGTGTTTTCCAATATTCACCTGCTGGCTCTCATCCGGGAGGTTATTTCCATACATGAAGCAGCCCCGTTTAGAAGCGTGGCCATGTAGATCCACATAATATGCCACCCCCCCCCCATGGGGCGGAATAGACTGCTGTACCCCCGCCTCTGGGGCCGTTACCTCCTCAGCAACAGGAGCTACAGTCTCAGAGGAGCTCGATGAGCTGTTTTGGTCCCCCCTCCCCGTCCCCGAGGAGGCCCAGACGTTTTCCTCCATCGCCATGGAAACGTCCGGTGGGCTCTTGTCATTCTCTGCATTCCGTTGGTTCAGGCTGACTTCGAGCGAGGTGAAGGGAGGAGACTGATGCTGATTGGCGAGTTTGATGCCGAGGGGCGGGGTCTCCGTGCGCGGGGGGCTATTGCAGTGAGCGATGGACTGCGCGTTGTGCAGGCGGTTGTTTGTGTGGTGGTAGAGTAAAAGTGTTTTGGCTGCATAGATGGAGGGATGCAGCTCAGGGCTGGGGTTCAGGTACTGTCTGTTCAAGTTCACACCTCTGGAATCAGTCCTGCAAAAAAGCATTACGTTGATTATACACATACTTACGTACTTGCAGCAGATGCCCTACCAAACATGTCTCACTATTACCGGTTTCAATAAATGACAGGTGTGTAGGGAAAACAGTCCATTATGATGAAACCTGATTCATCCAAGCTGACGCTGTATAAAAGGTAACCAGGTTTCTGATCAGGATTTAACATCTAATATTAAAAATAACTTCTGGTAGGGAATGTATCCCTGTTTTATTCTCTATTAGCTACGTGATATCAATGGTAGATCAGTGTAGCCTGAAAGGACATGACATCGTATTCCCAAGAACTCTTCAAAAACACATTGGAAATGGAAACACGGCCCTCTTTCGACAAGAAGTTCATTAACCAATACAAACCATGCCATCCAGAGTCCAACATGCTTCTCACCTGTAGTGCCCACGAATGACCCCGTCCGGGTTGAGCATGGGGATGAGCTTGAAAACAAACGTGTTCCGCAGCGCGTGAGCCCGAGGGTCGTCTTTTCTCAGGATGAAGCTGAGGAAGCCGTTGAACACGAAGGATGAGGGAGTCTCCCCGGGGTGCACCCGACTGCTCAGGAAAAAAACCTGCAGACAACACGCGGACACAGCAGCTTCAGCCTAAGCTGTTGCCATTTGCAAGCCCTCACAGTTACGCTGGGACCGTTGGTGCAGATTCGGCGATACCCGTTTGCCGGGGAAGCGGTGAGGTCTTGGCGTGTTGCCGTCGGGGAACAGCTTGGGCAGACGGGTTTCTCTCTCCTCATGCATTCTGTTGCAGTTGGTCACAGTGATCAGATCCACCCTATTGCCATCCAGCGAGTGGCATAACAACTCCCTATGATAATACACACTGTCCGGGGCACTGAGGGAGAGGATGGAGATGGTTTGGGAGAAAATCAATGAGAAATGCTTTGATTAGGGTCATTTAAAAAGTACTACCAGTCTCAAACATATATATTGCGCGTGTGTTTTAGGCCTTTTCTTGTGCTTTGCATTGTACCTGCTGGGACTGAGTTGGGCAGCATTAGGGTGGCTTTTGTCAAACCGCTGCATCATCTCCTGGCACTCGCTGTAGGAGAAGGGGAAGCAGAAGGAGAAGTAGGTGGTCGCTCCTCGCACTTCCGACAGCCGGTGGGAGAAGGAGAGGATGAACTGGCCCTCCACAATCTGCAAGGGGCCCCAAGGAAAAGAACAAGGCGCATATTATTTGGACGTGGAGAACGGCTGCCTGCATCAGTGGCGCCGGATCCTCTTGCTGACCGCCTCCGATCGCGGGACGCACCTCAGCCGTGGGTCTGTCCCGGACCCTTTCCCAGCGGCTCTTCCCGGGTAAAGTGCGCACGAGGGGAGCCATTCCCTGGCTGTAGAGCTTCCTCTGGTTGTTCATGTTCATCACATTGATCTTCAGTGTCTTTCCAGCCGCGGCACCCCGAACGCTAAAGTGAAACCACGACCTCAAGGGAAAAACAAAGAAAAAATACATCATTGGGGATTATAAATGGAACGGAATCAATAGAGTCGTGTGCGGCAGGTAGCACAACATAAACAAGAGGGACATGTTGTGGTTTTCTTGGTTTATACCGGTTTCCATTCTCGTGTTCTGTGCCCCCGCAGTCTGGCTGCGTCCACACGTTGAACTCATAGTCGGGGGTAAAGTTTGACCCGCAGAGGACACTCCCGCCGGGAGCTACATCGCCGGGGGGGCTCGAGCTGCCCTTCTCCACCTTCTCCACGCGCGCCAAGTTGCCCGAGTCGAACTTGGAGCTGAACAGAATATTCCCAAAGCGGGCCTCCATGGTTCTGAACGCTCACTTTCACTTGAAGCCTGCAAGGAAATCAGAGAAACGCCATCAAATTTACAATGAGAAAAAAAAAACGTGAACTGCTGTTGGAAACACACTAAAATATGAGTGATTTAAACACAATGTTACATTTAGTCACTGTTTTGTGCCCATCACTGGATGCAGGACAGGCGACTGCATGAATATAGTATTTGATCTGGATTCTGAGTTATGATCACAGTTCTTGATATCTGCATGTGGTGTGTTGACTTTGGTAAGTAAGAGTCATTTGTGTCTTAGATATCCAAAATAGACAGCTGAGGCAAGGCAGAGCATTTTATTGGTATAGCACAGTTAGAATACAATTTGCAGTGTACTGAGGTTCCAAAATGCTGCAGTCTTTAATCTAGATTCAAAGGAGGCGAAGGAGCAGCTTTGTGGGACTTTGCTCCAGATAAGTGGAGCAGAAAAACTGAACTTTGCTTCTCCATGTTTAGTTTGGATTCTGGGAACAGCGTAACTCTTTGCACCAATTATGAAATTAAAGATTTAAAGAAGAAGGCCATCTGTAGTTGCAAACTAAGATAACAGAAAGGGGAGGTAGCTACTTGTAATCTACGGTGCAGAATGCAATTGAATTGTATTTAGTTACCCCCCCCCATGAATCAAATGGGGAGAAACATGGCGTTAGATAAAGATACAGTTAAATAAGTTAACGTGAGGTCAAGTTGTTTAAATGCATAACAGCGACAGCGTGAGGCCAGTGAAGAGAATACAACCATGGCCCAACAAAACCAAACACGCAGGATCTCTGGATTCACGGTGTTCAGGGCGCAGATCAACGTGCACGGCTGCTTTTATTCATTCATTCATTCATTCATCCATTCATTCATTCATTCATTGATGACCTCGACGCTCAGCGCTGGAACGTCATGGCTGCTGTTTGATTTCTCCACCGGAGCAACAACAACAACAGCTGACCGAGATCTGCGCGGAGCAAAGCGGGCGAACGAGCGACTGCAAGCGCTGCCGTCGGTGAACAAAGACGCGTTCTTTTAACACTAACCGCGCTAAATGTCGCCTGACATTTCACTATAACGCTATGTTATAACAAGGCCAATGGCGCTAGCATCCTTTTCTTAGCTACGGAGGCTAACGCAGCTAACGTTACATTACCGAACTAACGGTCGCTGTTTGAGATGAGGTGGGCTTTTTTTAACAAGATACGCAGCTCGCTTTCATTACATGTTTAATGCGTGTAATCATGACAATGCTTCTAGAAACAATAGACGATGCGTTTTCAGTCTTACTAAGCTATTTTGGCTGGATGTCCGTCTTTGTTTTCATCGTCCTTCTCAGCCCTCAAGTCGTATCTGAATGCTGCTTTCAGGTTTCTCTGTAGAAATGAATGCTGCTTTCAGGGTTCTCTGTAGAAATGAATGCTGCTTTCAAGTTTCTCTGTAGAAATGAATGATGCATTCAGGTTTCTCTGTAGAAATGAATGCTGCTTTCAAGTTTCTCTGTAGAAATGAATGATGCATTCAGGTTTCTCTGTAGAAATGAATGCTGCTTTCAAGTTTCTCTGTAGAAACGAATGCTGCTTTCAGGTTTCTCTGTGGAAATGGATGCTGCTTTCAGGTTTCTCTGTAGAAATGAATGCTGCTTTCAGGTTTCTCTGTAGAAATTAATGCTGCTTTCAAGTTTCTCCGTAGAAATGAATGATGCATTCAGGTTTCTCCGTGGAAATGAATGCTGCTTCCAGGGTTCTCTGTAGAAATGAATGCTGCTTTCAAGTTTCTCTGTAGAATTGAATGATGCATTCAGGTTCCTCTGTAGAAATGAATGCTGCTTTGAAACGTTGTCCCTGATGGTTATAGTAACAAAGTGGGATGTTAAAACAAGCTGTTCACACAATTTGTCAATATTAAAAGCAAAATTAAAAATAATTAAAAATAATAATTAATGAATTCATATTATTAACAGATAGTTATAGCTATACATGCCAATGTGCACATAGAGATAAACAATACTGGTACGACTCAGTCTTACACGGCCACCACGGCCCTGTAATTCAAACCGCCCGATTTGATAGAAAATGAATTAAATCTATATGTTTTTTGACAAAACTTGACCAGTCTTATGCCATGTATATTCTGTATATTCCACTTCATTTTCATCCTGTAGTAATTTATATCAGAGTTTATAAAACTGAAGCGTGTGCCACTGGATTCTATTCAAATCAGATGAAACAGACGTAGATTGGGCTTTACTTTTACCTTCAGTCGCAAAACCCGGCATGTGACGGGATGGAGTATTGGAGGATGGAGACTTGGACTTCGTTCATGATACCAACTGCCGACGGGAAGAAACTGTTCCAGACGGTGACAGAGGAGCAAAGGATGGACTCAACGTCCGTGCAGAAGTGCACCATCATTGCCTATGGCAGGGTGTACATCTTCTGCTGAGCCTTCTTGGTGATCGGAGAAGGTGAGGCTGCGTTCCTTCGAAAATCTGCTACCATCTCCACTGAGAAGCTCTGAGCTCTAAAACATTTTAACTGCACAACGTCACCAGTTGGTCAACCTTCGACCTGTAGAGGGATTCGTCCCTACCAGAGATGAGTAAACGGGAACTTCGCCCAAAGAGACGAAAGACCTGGAATCTCTGTGTTAGCGTGTAAGGAACAGGATCTTCTTTCTAAAATCAGTCACCACAGAGGGGGAAACATCCTTCTCTGGGGATGCTTTTCTGCAGAGGGGACAGGCCGACTGCACTGTATTGAGGGGAGGATAGATGGGACAGGCTGGGTCTTCCAGCATGACAATGACCCGTCTCCAGACCTGAACCCAATAGAAAATCTTTGGAGGGAGCTGAAAGTCTGTCATGGCCCGGCGACAGCCCCAAAACCTGAAGGATATGGAGAAGGTCTGTATGGAGGAGTGGGCCAAAATCCCTGCTGCAGTGTGTGCAAATCTGGTCAAGAACCACAGGAGACGTATGATGTTGGTAATTGCAAATAAAGCTCCCAAATATTAAGCATGACTTTTTGTCATGCAATGAACCGCATTTATTCATTTTATACAATACAATGTGATTTTCTTGATTTTTGTTTTAGATTCCGTCACTCAGAGTTGAAGAGTAAATGATGGACAGGTGACACCTTGCAGGTAGCTCCTATCTTCAGTATATGAATAGGTGTGAATAATGACAAAGAAAGAGTAACACAAGTACAATCCATTTAACATCATATATACAGTATATGATATATGCTATTGTAAATGATTTACAACCTGAACTATTGAATGTCTATAATGTAATAAATTACTTAAAGTGGATACTTGGACATTTGTGTTTGTGTTGAAAAAAATGTTATTTTTATTATACTAGATTCGAGTGTCAAAGGTTTTGTTTTAATTTTAATAACTTAAATTAACTTAAGTAGAGAGAGCCGTGTTCAAGTCATTTCAGAAGAAATCATTTTGAGGAAAATCAAAAATCAGTATTTGAAACAAATGTAATTGTTGAACGCTGATTGTTGTAGCTGATTGTGCAGATCAGGTTGTTCTGTTTCCTGTTATTTATTCAAAATATGGTCTAGTGGTTGTAGTGCACATAAATAGCCAGTATTGTATCTGTTATTATGCACCATCTATATGAACTGGCCTTATGTTCTAGTCTCTTTTTCTATTGTTTTTTCAACTTTGGGCTAAATCTCTTCATGATGTCTTTTGTCTCTGATTGCACGTGTCTTTAGCAATGGGAGGCCTGCGACACGGCAGAATCCTTGATTTTGCTAATGATATAGTACCAAGCAAACGAAGTGAGCGTTACAGCATTTACTCATTACAGCGGCATCTTTCCTTCAAAAGACTAAATTAGATGTTATTATACCATAGATATCTTTTGTTTCCTGATATCGCACATTGTGCTGCAGCTTGGCCCGCTCTGAATTCTGATCAGAGATTCCTTCTACGCTGACTGTTGGTAACAGGAAATATGATTAATGCAATAAGATACCAACCAGTGTACGAAGGCGCCCTGCTGTGACGTCTGCTGCCATCCTTCTGTCTCCTGAGTGTGAGGGCATTACTTCCTGTTGCAAGCCTCATCAGCTACAGAGAAGCAGCACGTTGAAACGTTTAGGACTAAATGAGAGTCAAACTGGAACCCAAGGAGGCCTTTTTGTTGTTTTTGTCCCCAATCTGTGGTGAGAGAATGCAGCTTTTTACTTCCCGGGTTTCTCACTTTGTGTTTTTTTTTCAATTTTCCACCCATGAAGTGCTATCTGGGAATGATGTTTCCCACACGCTGTCGGTTTGGTCTAAAACACACCCGCGTTCCCCAATTCATCCGTCCGTCTCGTCAGCTACGCCGCAGATATCAGAATAGAAACGTCTCCTCATTCCCTCTCCGCACAACTTTTCTTTCCCCCTGTCTTGTCATGCGCCCCATTGTGCGCTTGACAAAAGGGCTTTTGTGCGGTCTACTGATGGAGCGTGATGCATGTCGTGCGCTTTCACCGCAAGAGGGCAATAAAGCCTTTCCGCTGGCCTCCGCCTCCCTCGTAGCTCACACACGGTTCAAAGACTCGCCACCTGCCGACGACAAAACCCGGTGCACATTAGAGTAAAGGGAGCACTTTTTTATTCACTCAGAAAGGAAAATAAAGATTTATTTGCAGCATTTTTCAGCTGAATGCCCTGATTCGCAGAGCAATTAATAGCAGTTAGGTACTGATTATTAATTTTGTAATGCATAAAGATGCATCGTGGTATAAAACACAATATTTCTTTTCATGCTGTTGTTTGATTGTTTTCCTTGAACAGCTGGATCATCGCTGGAGCGATGTTTCGCCCGTTGACCTCTGGGAGCTCTTTGTAGCATGGCTGATCTGCTGTCTTTGATTTACTGTAATTATTAAACTGTAATTGTTTCAGGCCTTTCCACAAGATGAGAATAAAAGCAAATGTACAACAGGTCTAGATCTTAGTTGTACATCATTCAATCACCCATGAGTAAATAACTACCTCAGAAGAAAATGCAGAATATATAGGAATATAGAATATTTATACATAATATTTTCACACGGTTTTGACAAAATCCTTTGTGTTAGATATAAAACATCTTTAGGGTTTTTGTCTTCATCTAATGGAGCACTGACACTAGTAGTAAATTCATTACGTAGAAATGGTCTTAGGCTGCCGGGCCGGACCTTCGCCCATGATGGATCGATGAATATTTTATGACTTTTCATCATTTAAATTTTAAACTGATCAACAACAATTGAGATATGGTTCGGGATGAAACTACTGAATTGCTTCTATTGTCTTTATTGTTCATTTAAATGAATTAGGTATAATTATTTGGGGGGGATTTGTGCGAGACATCCAGTTACCATCGGGGAACAGACACATAACATGTGGCCTAGTTGAGGGTTTTCTGTTGTTTGCATAACAATCCAGTCCAAACGTCCCAAAAATAAGCTTGTAAGAGCGTGCATGTTGTTGCCTAGGAACAGTTTTCCCTCTTCCCAGCAGGTGGTCCCTTTATGAATATCATTACATATGCCCATTCAGGGGAGGCAAGACATCTTTATTGCTTGCACACCATTTATCACGAGTCCTAGATGTGCAGCTCTCTGTGGTTCTGGACCTTTTTGAGTTCATTTACACGTGCAGTTGTGATGCACAGTGACTGCTGCTGTAAAGTAGAAACTGAATAAAGGAGACACTTTTGAGTAGTAAAAGGTTATCAGAAGCGAGCCCATTTTGTACACAGCAGTGACGGCGTACTGCCATTAATCTCTAATTAATCACGGACAACATTAGGCCTTCATCCAGAGGTGTATCCACAGGAGGTCCAGTCCTGGGTACGAGGCTCCCCTAGAGTTGAGGCCCTTTTTTCCACTGCCGTGTGCACTCTGTGTGGAACACAGGCTCAAGGCACGGCCCTATGTCGTCCTGCTGGGCCTCCATCTGCCGTGGAGGCGGTTAGGTCCCTGGATTGATTGCAAGACAACGGCTTTATGACATGCGTCGTCGTGAGTGACAGAGGGTTTCGTCCCTACTGGGCCTCCCCGCGACCACGGATCTCACATTCGCTACCGGCACTATGCCAGACCTAATGGGGGGGGGTGATCCTCCTGCTGCGGAATGGGACTTGTAGTTTACAGCTGGCTGGTAATTCAGGACACAGAGCAAATCTCTCCCTGCTTCTGTCTGGTGACTCTTTGGTGACATGTGGCTCAATCTGAGAAAACCATGAATGGTAAAAGTAAGTGCAGGCACCCATCGGAAAACAAGCCTTCACTCCTTAGTTCTGATTTTTTTTTAATTTTCTGTGTTGATTCTCGCCCGGCTGCGAGTGAACCACATTACTTAAGTTCTGTCAAGTTCTGCAGTCGACTTCGTTCACACATCTGTCAACATGCGGTTTCTCTTCGCTTTGGTGGGTCCGAGTTAAAAAGACGTCGCTTCCTTCAGCTTCCACTCCTCTCCTCCGGCCCAACACAGGATAATAAAAGCAATACTTTGTGGTCTGAGAAACTAAACAAAGGTCCCGTGCCTTAAAGGGGAAGATGCTACATTGTGAGATGACAGGGTTTTGATATGAAAGTGCCGTCTCCTTCCTGACCAGCGTGGTGAAGTGGCAATGTCGTGGCGGACATTCTTTGTGTGAGCTTTTCCTCACAGGAATTTGGTATTCTGCATTTACCAGCAGTGTAGAATGCTGCTAATGTGCAGCTTGCAGCTTACTGTATCAAAGTCACAGTAAAATACCGGGCACAGCACAGTCAACACCAATGACGAAGATTTTGTTTATTTTCATGTAAATGCATAAGGCAGAAAAAGACATTGTGGTAACTAATCTCCACTAATGTATCATTTTTATCAACCCTGAGGGTGAACCTTCGAGAGAAAGGTTGTTACCTGCTACTTGGTGAACATCTCCAACCATCGCTTTAGTTTTATGTTTTTCATTTTCTTTGACTATATGTTTATTGTCTTTTACCTTTCATTGTTTTTTCGAATGGAATCGTCAGGCGTCTGCCACCTTTATTATCTAAACAGCCATCTTATCCTATTTTTCACCAAATAGATTTCAGATGCAAAAGCTATTTGGAAACACAGCATATGATGTTTATAGTTATTGATTAGATCATTATATATACAATGAAACTGTAGTTGGTATTTATTAAATTATGGAACAAGGACAATTCTTGACATTCTATTGCTATTTTACTTGTTATGATACTATAACTCTTATAAAGAGTAGACAAACATAAACTGCCATGTGTGAGCTTTCATTGAGGCCCATTAAACAGAGAACTATGCAGGCCTTCAGTCATGCCCATATTTGTGGAAAATTAATAAAATAACATATAGCTGCAGCCTTATATCTTGGAAAGAGTAAACATAAACAATAGACCAGTTTGTATTTTGTATTTGTATTTGTAAAATGATTCCCCCCCTAAAAAGTTTTGGGGATTTATTTGCAAATATATTAAAATTAAAGTACTAAAACATAGAATGCACGTAAGTATTCACAGCCTTTGCCATGATACTCAAAATAAAGCTCAGGTGCATCTTGTTTTCCACTGTCCATCCTTGAGATGTTTCTACAACTTGAGTTGTGCAGTCTACCCTGATATATTCAGCTGATGGCCACTCATTTAGAAGGATACACGCACCTGTTTATATCAGGTCCCACATTCGAGACTGCCTTTCAGAGCACATACCGAGCCATACAGCCTAAGGAATTGTCTTTAGACCTCTGAGACAGAATTGTATTGAGGCACAGATCTGGCACAGAAACATTTCTGCAGCATTAGAGTTCCCAATGAGCCACAGTGGCCTTGTAACCACCAGGACTCTTCCTAGACTGTGTGATTGGGGTGAAAGGGCCGTAGTCTGGGAGGTGACCAAGAACCCGATGGTCACTCTGAGAAAGCTCCAGCGTTGCTCTATGAAGAGAGAAGAAACTTCCAAAAGGACAGCCATCTCTGCAGCACTCCCTAAATCAGGCCCGAATGGTAGTGTGGCCAGACGGAAGGTCACTCCTTGGTAAAAAGCACACGACAGGCCGCCTGGAGTTTGCCGAAAGGCACCTCAAGGACTCAAACCATGATGCAATTGCCATGCCACTTCCCAGGAGACACAAACCACTGTGCCATCTTCATGAGACCTAGCGATGAAGCAAATCGTTTGTGAGTCTGCACCAATTTGAAAAGATGTTATGCCAAATGGTGGTAGGATTTTCATTTGTATCATGCCTTAGTCTTGCGACTTATCAAAGCTTTTTACACTGCATGTTATCTAGCACACAAAATAATGCA